CCTGGTTTAAGAGCCACTGGCTACAGGGTTGTCAACATGTTACCTCAAATAAACACCACCCAGAAATGAAAGTGTTACAAAGTGGCTCTTATTTGAGGGTTTTTACGGTACTTCCTGTATGTCTACTGTAGTATTGCTATTAATTAATTAACCAATAGAAAATGTTATTTCTAAGAATGCAATAAAGATATTATTTACCTTACTAAATCCTCTGATGATTTAGTTGTGTAATAAAGTTATTATTATTATTATTATAAACAAAGATTTAGACTATTGCGCACACCAACTACTAGTATTACACACTCGAGGTTACCAAACTTTAATTAGGGTAGGTTTTTCAATGGACAGTGAATCTCGTAATTTGTAAATGTAATTGGCAAGAGTTCCTTTTGCAGGGATCTCGCCAGCCCTACGTGAGTGTCATTCGGTCATGAATATAGCTATATGAATATTAGTTAGCAATGAATATTAATGAGTTTGGTCGCAGTGCAAAATATTTTTGAAATTAAGACATTATGTTTCACAATTTTGAAGAGTTTTAATTTAAAAATTGAATATATTCGAAATGCGAATGGTGCAGACTATAAAACAGAAACAAATAAATTATTGTTGCAATATTAATGTCTATGGTAAAAAGTTAAATAAAACGCATTTGAAACGTTTCAGCCAGGAATATGTTCACGGTCTTATTTACACTAAACACATTCTCCTTCAAAATAAGTATTGTTGTAATTTATTATTCGTACCATCAACTTCTAAAACGTATATATTCACAGTAATGAACGAACAAATAAAACTTCTGAACTTTCAAAGTTACGACGTGACATAACTTACTTCACGATGTTATACACTGATTATACCAATAATTCTTCTTACTCAGTCATGATGCCAAGCGAAAAAATTTACTTCTTTTTTTTTTATTTTAAATAAAAGTAAAATTTGACTTAGTTTTATCGGGAGTGAATATTTTTGATCACTCAATCGCTTTGGTAAAAAACACAGCCCGCCATGATGTTTGTGACGTATTAGTTGACCGGCACGTGTTCTTTGATCCAACGGGTCAATAATTCCATTAACCAATCAGAATGCCGCATGGTAATGCCGATAGAAACCAAAGTTTTCCAAATGGTTGTGATTACATTGCGGAAGTAAAGCGATGTTGTAGCACGATGTGTTGACATCGATTTCAGTTGAAAACTGCACGATGGTTTTCGAAAGAGGAGATTAGCAATTTTCAAAAGGTGAAATAGGTCTTGAAAAACGAGTTTTTACATGATTCGCGATGATAACAGTTCAAATGTACTTTACCAAATCACGCAATAAACACGTTGATTTTTTTCTTGAGTAGCGTAAACTGATTGTGAACTCTGCTTTGACCATGTTATATCAAGGTAGAATTGATTTTGAAAGAATTTTAGCTTTCAATCTAAAGACTGTGTCTATCACAGAAAAAATTTATTTACAAACAAAGAGGTGCTAATTTCACATAATTGACTAGCCGCTACGTATCGTGCGACTTGGTCTATTGTTTACAAATTATAATCCACGACTGGCAGGATGCGTGTCGGTCGGTACATAATTATAACAATTGGACAATAGTCCTGGTCCGAAGCATTTCCGTGGTGGTCGCTAATTTTGAGTGCCGGTCGGGTTGACCACCGCCGACCAGCGTGGCGAAATCCCTGCTTTTGTACCCCCCCCATGCCTAACCGTAACTCTAACACTCACTCCCAGTTACCCATTTCATTTATATATGCCCCCTCTAGATAACTATAGATGTCCTTAGGAGGGGCATGTACAATTAAATGGGGAGTGCTGGAGGGTAGGGGTAGGATTAGGGTTATGGATGGGGGGTACAAAAGAAACTCTTTCCGTAATTTTGTTTCCCCTTTTTAGCTTTTACTGTTAAAGCGCGGTGGTCGTCGCGCAGCGCGTGTTCGAATTTCATGTAAATAAACAATGTATTTTACACGCGTTGTATACGTCGCTATGAGTCCCATAACGAACAGGACGCGGCACGACGAGCACCGCGCTTTAATCATTTTTTTCATTGTCGCGTGGTTTCAGTCACCTTACTTTCAAAAGTCAGTGTTGTGTCAATAAATAGATCAGTGTTTACTTGTATTGATGACTACGAAACCGGAAATCCAGTTTGGATAGCCACATTCTCAAGCACGATCATGTGCTGTTTAACGGCGTGTCTCGACACGACTTCTAGCACAACATGGAACCTCTACACTTTCTACTAAAAATCCATTTCCATTTTCTGAGTATACGTACCTTGTTACGATAGCAATTTTGAACAAAACAATGGCGATACGTTAGTAACAGTTACACGGAAGACTGCCCAAGTCAGTTATGTGTGTACAGTTCAAAAAGCAAAGTTCAAAGGGCATCCACAATTGCAGTTTCATATTCATATTAATGTTAAGGAATACTAATTAAACTGAAATTAAAATTGCATGACTAGAGGCGGTTTGAATAAATGCGTATATATTTATAAACACATACTTTATTAGGGTTTGGAGAATTAAAAACACCTTTATTTGAGGTGATTCATTCTACTTGATCTTCGCAATCTGAATAGAAAAGCAAAACTTGGAAATCGAGAATCCGCGAGAAGTAGCAAACAAACGAACCAAGATGGCAGCTTGCACAGGCATGGACAATATTCAGCTTTAGTCGATATGTTCAGCACGCTGGGATAAAAAATATATAGTGTCTCGTTATCCGACGAGCTGAGAAATGGAGGACGAGATGGACCAAGACTCTCCACAATACTCGCATTGTGAACTGCACCAATACAAACCTCGTAAACCTCTTCCGCAATGGTTCAGTGCGGAGCCGTTCCGTTACAACGCACGATTTATATTGGCATTTCTTCCATGTGCCGCGTTGGTGTTAACGTTAGCCGGAGAACTCCTGCTCACAATCATCGTCATTGGTGCGTTTCTTATACATTTGATTGACACTGGTGGAGCTAAACGGAGAGCCGTAGTTATTTATATATGTGTTTTCATTATGTCTCAGATGACTGTGATTTACTCGGCAATTCCATTGATTTGGAAATCTCCAGCTAATATACTCTTGGTGTTTTTGCTCAACATGTTTACCGTGTTGACTGGTGGATGGATTCTACTCCAGTTTCAAGCATTCCGATTTGAAGAACCTCTTCTAAGTGTTACCTTGGAGACCGGCTTGTTTTGTTTTTATCCATTCATTTGCACCATCCTCATCACCTGGGTAGCAGTAACCATAACAACTATTTATGCAGCTCCGATTTGCTTTATCATATGTGGGTTTTTACATCTGCGACTTTTTATGGCGCCGACCCAGTCTTCCTTTCGAAAAGAAGATCCAAAGCGCATTGAAGATAGCTACATTATCGGGCCTGTAGAAACTGCAGTGATGTGTTTAGTGTACATACTCATGCCTATTAAAATGTTTATAGTTATCAATTTCTGGAATCTTTTTCACTGGAAAATTCAGCTCCAGCTAATATTGCATTTGAGTTTAGCAATATTTCTGACTACTCTACTCGGAATTCGGCAATTTGTGGAATACCAAGGACTTTCCCTGAAACACGTCATGCTTGGACGATGGGCTTTTGGACTCAATACTTTATTTTGGGGAACTCTTTTGCTGTATGTACAAGGAGTACAATCTGCCCTATTGCCATGGCTGTTGCCGACAATTGGCATTAATCTGCTTATGGGAGTTTTTGCCCGGTTTAAACAGCGGAGACTGCAAACCAATATCTGTGGTGTGATTGCTATTATTATCTACATGACAGCTAGTAGGAGTGCATTACAGCTGCAGTTGAACATAAACATTATTGCATTCTTGCTAGTTGTTCATTCAGTTATAACTGTGTTGTGTATAATAGGTTCGCAGATTTCACCACCAATATTCAATATATGTCTCACTCTAGAAATTACACTCCAGGTTGTCACTGAGCATCTTCTCAGCAGCAAGCAGTTATACAGTCCAGTACTACTATTAATGACATCCTTGATCAGCACATATTTATTATTCAGATTACAGGACGTAAATAAAACATCCTATTTGACTACGTGGATATGCCTTGCATTGCACTCTACAAAAGTTCTGGCTTTTCTGCAGAATTCCGAGATCACATCTGAAATGGTGGCAGAACCTGGCAGTGTGATGTACTTGTGTCAAATAGTAACCATTATGTCTGCGGCACTTGTCGTTACTAGGATATTGATTTTTGAACACCGCGAACGTATTACAAACCACGAGGCATTTCAATATGCGGTATGTCTTGCGATGCTGATTGTATTCTTACATTTGACTTTATTTGAGTCGCTGTGGACTAAGCTCACACAATCGCCTCCATCACAGCCAGACATAGTAGCATCATCATGTATCGTATGTGGAATAGTTTCACTTAAGTTAACATTCACACACATGCCGAGAAATATCAATGCCAAAAAGTTGAATATTCTGGTCTTAATCAGTGGTGTACTTGTTTACATTCTTCAGCCCCAGACTGTGTTCGTTGGTAATGATGAATGTGGATGGGTGTTTGTCTTTGCACTAGTATGGATTGCTGCTGTTCTGTTTTCAGTCATACCCATCAGTCAGAGTAAAATGCTACTCGTACTACAAGCTGTGCTACTAGGAATCCCCATAGGAATTCAATGCAGTGTGCTGCTACTACAGGAAACTACCCATGATTCTTTGCAATGCCGAGCGGTGTACGTTCTCTCAACAATAATTACCTTGTACCTTGTACTGCTTTTATGGAATCATAAAATGACATCCAAAGACACAACAGTTCAGCACATATTTAAGATATATCTTTGTCTGCTTATTTGTTTCGCAATATCATACTTGCTGGAATTGAGCTTTCAGAACCTTGGAAATAGTCTTTCAAAAACGATTTTTCAACGAATCGCCCTTCCAACGACGATTTTCTTCTGCGTCATATTTGTTTTGCTGTCCCTGGCTTTGAACATTTATTGTCATTATTGGAAAGCTAAAGATCCTTTCATGTATTCTGGACCTGGAAAGTTACAACTTATCAGTAATATTTCATGTGTGACTGCGTACATATTAGCTATTGTCAATTGTCCTATAGATTATATTGAGATATGGATGTGTACATGCTCTGTGGTCTTTTTACTTGCACAGAAAGATAAGTATCTTTTCAGTGGGCTGCAGAAAGACCATCATCTGGGTCCCGTCATGATAGCAATAGTTAGTTGTCTGTTAGTGTCTACATTTGTGCAATCCAATCTATGGACAATAGGTCTTTCTATTAGTGTGTTTTTTGAAATTCTCATTTTGTTACTAACTTTCACAACACATATCACTTTTTGCACTCAAGTGCATGCCAATTATTTGTACTCTTCCGCCAAGACTGTCATATTTTCATTTCCACTTAATGCATTGTTGTTTTTACTTGGCAGTAGTTATAGCAGTTGGTTGCTAGGTACCGTTGGTTTGTTAGGTGGTTTATGGTTAGTATTTTACAAGGTACCAATTGATGAGAGATAGATATACAGTGCAATCATGTATATGAACTTTAAAAAGCAATTTTGTTGTATTTTTTTTAATCTACACAAATTGTAATACTGACCTAAAATTATATTTGTGGCAGAAAATACTGTAAAATACTTCATTTTAGCTGGAATTAATTTTCGCTGACTTTTGACGAGTAGAATGTAAAAAATAGGAAAAAAGGTATTTTCGCTGGATTTTATTTTTTACTGAATCATTCCTTGAGCGAAAATAAATTTCAAGAGAAAATAAAGTATTTTTAATACAGTAAGCAAACTGTGATATGTCACATAATACTGTAAAATAATTTATTTCAGGTGGAATTAATTTTTGCTGAAAAGACGTTTTAGGTGTTTTGTATAGAATTTATTTTCACTGATTTTTGATGAGTTTAATGTGAAATATAGAAAAAGGGTATATTCGCTAGATTTTATTTTGACTGAATTATTCTTTCAGCAAAAATAATGAAAATTAATTCCAAGCGAAAATAGAGAATTCTACAGTATATATTTGTGATATTTTGAAAACAAATTTTTGTTTTCACAAACATCCTACAACATCACTGCATATTTGTCATTTGGTATCATCATGGTAACACACAGATAATTTTGATTCTGTATCTCATAGATTGAACATTTGATGAAAATAATTGACAAAAAAAACACAGATCCTGCCCCTTCAAGGTAGAAGTCTACTCATTAATTAATTAATTATATTCAGGGGTTTTGTTGCGAGGTGACTGCTTGCTAGATCACTGTCTACTTGGCTTGTTTTGTCGACTATTTTGTATTTTTAAGGCTTACATTCAACAGAAAATTGTCACATTTTGGCCTCTCCTACTTTTCAAGTGTAGCTGCCAACTCCAGAATTTAGCAAAACCCCTGCTATTTGAGAATTTTGAATTGCAAGACAAAATATATTTAACTATAGCTGCTGCTAAAAATGGTAGATGAAAATATTTATTCTACTACATGTAGTATTTTTAAAATGCTTAAAAAGTTATCAAATGGCTGATATTCACTACATTAAGAAAATAATTAAAAAAACACACCTCAAACCTCATTTTGCTTCAACAACTGTACATTGGTGCAGAAAATACATGCTATAGAGGGTAAATATTCATTGGGTTTAGTTTTGGTCAATTTGATGTTGCAGGGATATTCACTCAATTTTCGAATCACTAGTTTGTGGAGAAAACAATACACTATTTTAACTTCACTGGGTTTTAATTTAGAGCATTGATAGTGTAAAAAGTGAAAATAAAACCCAATTAATAATGCCTATACAGTGTTTTGAATATTATAATTTTTCAGACAATCTCAACTTCATCGCTTTGAATCACTTTTCTCATCAAAATTTTGTTATAACATTTTCACAAAACACTTTTATGTGTTTTTCAATAATTTTTATAATAATTTTTGACAAGATTCACATATTTTCTCAACGCCTCAGAATCAAGAATTTGGAAAATGTAGGAAAATTTTCACTGATCTATAAAGGTAACAATAATTTACCTCGATATTCAATTCATTATTCACTGTACATTTAATAACAATACTATTTTTGCTCAGAAACGGTAACAGATGTACCGGTATTCATTACAAAGGAATAAAGGTTTCTTTCAATCAATAATTACAATGGTTTAGTTGTTGTGATTTGATTATGATTGAGCTGTGTATACGTGAGATGTTTTGAACAGCATGTACAACAAAATATAAAGTGAAATACATAAGGCCAAATAAAAAAAAAATCGGTATGTTTCTGGTAACCCTAATGTACCTATATTTAGCATGCAAATTTTGTATCTTTTTATGGCTACAGTAATATAGAAAGTGGTAGTTTGTGTTCAC